GGCGATGGAGATCAGTCTGATTCCTCTATGACTGCCGCATTCCGATCGTGAGCCTCCCTTGAAAATTGGGACTATGATGGAGCGGCTCCAGTCGGTTGGGACAGTTTCATGCTCCCACAGTTTGACTAGTAATTCGTGTAAATTATCCACATAGCAGGTCCCTGAATTTGAAGTGAGTTCGAGGAAGACCATCAGGTCCCGCGGCTTTATATAACTTCAACAGTCCGATCACACGTTTGATTTCTGAGCGAGAGGGTGGATCTAACGGGACAGCCCACGGAGCTGGGCGATCAGTGGCCGGCGAGAAATCTAACAATTCCGGCTGATTAAATTGCCTTTCAAAGTGCTCAGCCCAACGCTCAAAGCGTTTTGACAAGTTGTGGATTGGCTGTGTACTCTCGTCACAAATTGTTTCACTAACACTAGGTCTCCTGCTGCCCGATTCCCGTATCAGACGGAATAACTTACAACGGTTGCCAAGTTCTTCGATCATTTCCATCTCCGATGCATGATGAGACCACCAAGATTCGCGGTCTCTCTTCAGGCTAGCACGGAGTTTTGCCCGGCGCTCTTTGCGAGTTTCATTGTGTTCGCTTCCAGCCGGAACATGCCGGCGAGCATCGATAACTTCCAGAGACCTAGAAGAGACCCAATGTCCTTGTTGGCGATTAGACATCCCACATGAGGATTTTCCTGCTGCAAGTAAGGTCTGGTGAATATGAGACCAGTGAGCTTCAATTGCATCCAGTGAGCGTTTATCCCACTCGCAAGACAGCGTACTTTTATAGGCCTTCAGGACAGCTGGCTTCGCCGGTTGGCTGGTGTCAATGCGCTCGCAACGTCGTCGTGGGCGTCCGCCAAAACGCATCCGCAGTTCAGCACATACAAGTGCATAGTCGGTGTCCACACATGTGCTCCAAATCGAGCGACAGTTCTGGATGCAGCCTCTCCATCGGTAACTTATCGCAATGTGATCTATTCGCGTCCAAGGTTGGTTCGAGGCTGGTGGGCGCCAAGTCACCCTCCGGCGGGTGTTGGGTCGGAAATTAGTGCTCGCAACCAATAAGCGCGCATCCTCACACAAATGAAGTAACTGCTCACCGTTATCATTGCGGCAGCCTACACCATGTTGGCCGCCCAAATGCAGCACATCAGTGGATAATTTTCCAACTTGAGCGTTCAGATCCCCGGCCAGCACAACAGTGTCCGTGCTTCTTCTGTGATAAAGCTCGTTCAGTTGACGATAGAAGTCGTCTTTTACCGAGTCATCTCTACAGTTTGTCGGTGCGTAGGCAGCGATGACGAATAGACACCTGTTAGTCCCACGCGACTTCGATGTTTTGAACGAGCCAGCCAATCGGACCGCAAACATCCGGCTACTGATTTGAATCCAATCAACCAGGGCAGTTTCAGCCCGGGGACTCAGGGCAATACCAACACCTGCTTAGCCGGTGCTCGAAACTGCATCGTCACCGGATAGGCGCAATGAGAATGTGCTGCTAGTGTCACCTAAAGGGGATCGCAGAGTGAGCACAGAGCTCAAGACTTGCAGGCGGGTCTCCGATAGGCAGCAGATATTGATTGAGAGGGTCTCTGAAATTCAGGCAAGTGCTGCCTGTTGACCGAGCTGAAGCAATTTGCGAACATTGAGGTATGCCAAACTGAAGGATGATCGAGGGTTCCAAATGGAAGGCGATGACCTGGACGGGGCCGCTTGCTTAGACATGGGCCTGTTGACAGGGCAAGAATAACGCTCCGCGTTCACATGTGAGTTAAAACTAAAAGACAAGCGACTATTGAATCAAGGTGGGGAGAACCGAGAATTGGGGGGTTGAAAACAGAGGGGATAAAAGTGAAGCTGGAGCAGGACGATAAGGGTGAAAAAGCGTAAGAGGGAGAATAAGACGACAGGAGGGTTTGAGCAGTAGCATCCAATCCCTTATCCACCCTGCTCGTTGCAGCGAATAGGGCACTGTTGATTCTCCTCTGTGGTGGCCAGAGCATCAGAAATTCGTTTGAAGTGGGATTCATTGTATTGCGCGGGCAGGATACTGTCAGGTTGCAAAGGCCTAGACAGGAGAACGATTAGGGTTTTCATCCAAAACCTTTGGTTCCAAAACCTGGCCGCAAGGCAGCGGGTTCGGCATTGGGCTACAAGGAGTCCGTTTTAAGGAATAAGGTGCCACTCCCATTCCAACTCAAAACCTGGAGGGCTAGGAGGCTGAGTTCGTCTGGCCTCTAACTATTGACTAATATGGCACGAGTGGCTCTGAAGGTGCAGAAATGCACTACCCAGTATAGCTCAATGAATCAGTGAGGCACACAAACCATCGCACCACGGTAAGGTCTAGCCTCATTACAAAGGAGGGGGCCGACAAAATCCAGCCACCTATCGTCCCACCTGTCTGACTTCGATTTTGTGCAAATTCATGGAACGGATTCTGAAACGGGCCGTTTGCGTTCATCTCGATGATTTGGAATTCCTCTCTGAATCCCAACATGGTTTCCAAAGGGCGCGTTCATGCGCCACAAATTTGCTGGTGGCTAGGGAAAGTGGGCAAGATCCTTAGATGCCGGTATGCTTCTGGATGCGGTGTTTGTTGATTTCAGTAAGGCTGTTGACAAGGTCCCGCAAGAGCGGCTCCTCTTCAAACTCCGATGAATCGGCGTCACTGACAATTTTCTTTCTTAGGTCTCCGGTTTCCTGGATGGCCGCTTCATACAGGTTAAATATAACGAAGCGCTTTCTGATCAAGTTCTCATGACCAGTGGGGTCTCCCAGGGTTCTGTACTCGGCCCCGAACTCTTCAATATTCTTATCAACAGCTTGCTATCCGAACAGAGGACCGAATGCTTAACCAATGCGGAAGATCTGAAGCTGTGCATTAAGGTATTCAGTCTGGAAGATGCAGACAGACTTCAAGCGATACTCGATCTGCTCCATGATTGATCGACAAAGTGGCAGTTGCCCATTAACCGTGACAAATGCGCTGTCCTTCCAATCGGTGCTCCTGAGACTTTTGTGGCTTACCATATCAAGGGTTTCTTGTTCAGAAATGCCAAGCAAGAGAGGAATCTCGAGGTGACTGTATCTCCTGATCTCAAATCAATCGAGGACACCCGGAATAGGGTCGCATAGGTCTGCAGAATACTTCACGCTATACGAAAAGCCTTTCACGCCTAACCCCAGCACTCTTCAGACTACTGTTTGCTTTGCATGTGCGCCCAGTTCTCCAGTACGAATTGCCTGCTGCGTATCCCCTTACAAAGTCCGAACGTGACATGATCGGGAAGGTTCAACGGCGTAGATCCAAACCGGTTCCAGAGTTGCGGGACTTATCTTACCTCCTACGGCTTCAACCGTTGAACTTGTTCGCTTTGGATAATCGTCGTCGCCGCGAAGACATGATATTCACTTGGCGTATTCAAAGAGGTGAGCTGGGGAGTGAGCTGCAATCGTTCTATCGTCTCAACACAAGGTGTGCAACTCGAGGCCACCGGTAGAAACTTTTCAAACCGCGGCGACTCCGTGTGCACTCCGATCTGACCCTATCCACCCGGGTAGTGAATGACTGGAACAGCTTGCCGGAGGCTGTCGTCGATGCGGAGACAGAGGAATGTTTCAAACGACTCTGGGATATCCACTCTCTGAGTGCGCAGGGATTCTGCTGCCTACAATACAACCATAGCGATCTTCTGCGGAACCTTGTTCCGCAATGATCCCAACAGCCCTTGCAACGTTCGGGAAGTGACGGAGCTGACAAAGGAACTTCCTTTTGCTCTCTACCAAACACTGAACCAATGAATAACGAACCAATGAGATCTTCTTCCTGACTGTACAGTGACTGAAACACGAAGTGAGACATGTTAAGACACACTGACATACCGTCGATTTTCTGGTTAAGTGTAAGTTTTGTGCGATTACTAAAAGTGGCGTCTTCATTTAGACAAAGTCTTGTTACATCACCCTGGCTAAATCCATGTGTTACACGCTTATCATCTGTTCGCTATACAACGCCACTCCATCTGCAAACTGTTTTACCTGGTCTGACCTAGCTCTTGTTTCGCGAGCGAAAATTTAACAGCCAAATATTACACCTGACTGTTACCAAACCTCTCTGTATTTCTTTATTTTTATTCCTAGTTACGTAGCCTTTAGAAAAGTCATACCTCGTGACCGCGAAAAGAAATAGGGATTTCGAAATAACGAGCGTATATGTTAAACTATTTAGTTGCGTCCAGATAAATTAAAGTAAATAATAGATGATTTTATGATGGCAATATTGTATGATATTAAGTCTACAAAAATGAATCGTATTTCATAACCAAATTCGAATGCCTAACTAGGGGCGTGTTCAGTCGAAACACATGTGATTCGGTAACGACCGCGAGATAAAATTATACTTGAAATTCGCGAATGATATAATTAGCCGGTTGTCTGACAAGATACGGCTCCGTGGTAGAGGCGCAACGCATTGTATGCAGTCTTCTTGGAAATAAAAAAAGTATTCACATAAGGATGAGTTGTTAGGCCATTTCGTTTAAAAGATTAATGCTCCTTCGGTGTGGACTTTGAGTTTGCTGACCTTATCTACAATCTGCTATAGGTTATGGGTCAATTAATTTTAGACGACAAATCGTGCCGTATAACCATTCCGTAATTAGATGAAATATCAAAACGTGTAACTATTAATTCTCGCACTATTTAGTTGAACGTACAGCTACAACAATGTGCGCAGGCTGAGATCAATCGTGTAAATTAGCTCAAGTTTGTCCATGGTATATGTAAAGGTTAACAAGTACAAATCACGCTGAAATATATTCAGTGTTGGTTGCTACGTGCTTCACCCATAGACTCTATCTGGAACCATACTAAAACTTACCAAAACCAAAGTATCCTTTTAATAAAATCTTCTTCTTAAGATAAAGAAATGAAACCAAACATTCTTTACAATGAATGTTTGCATTGCATAACAGCGAATTATCACTTTTCATTTCAGGGAGGTAGTGCAAGAGGTACTCAAAGTTAATTTCAGTTCCTACATTCCACAAAATGTAGACGACATTTTGAAAACGGTTGAAAATTTGACCAATTACTTGGACAACAGCAATTACACGGTAAGTTTTAAAGCTAAGCTCAGTTATATGCCATTTCCCTTTATTAAAATGAAAAGTTACTTTTCCAGCGTAATACAATCTATCTAACAAATCAAGCAAACGATTATACTGTTTGCTTTTTATGAATCAAATGGATGATGACGGGCGTTTGACAGGTTGCTACACATGTAAAATGGCACTTCCGCTGGTACTGACGGTATTCCTAACCTTTCTTCATTTCGCTGATACTAAGCTGTCAGCATGATTAATTTCTTTAAAAACAGCGCCAAAATAAATACTCTACCAAAAGGTTTCGCTCTCAGGCAAATGTATTCGAGGATCGTTTTAGACTATAGACTAACTTGCTGCTCTCTTTATTAAGCTGGGTGTTTGCTTCAGGAACCTAATTTTTATGGTTTCTTCTTATTAAATAGTACCAAAACTTTTATAAGACTAAAAACAACTTCGATCCCGTGAGTAACATTCGAGCTTTTCTGTGACATTGCTTAAAGAAGGAACGCAATATATAATTGGAGAATTTCGGCTAAATAATAAAAATCCTCACAATAAACATCTGAAGCATTCATATTAAACTAGCAAGTACGAGCTACTACTAATTACTGCGTATCAATCAGTTTACACTGGTAGATCAAACCAATATCAATAGTTCTTCGTACACTGGTTGCTTCTATTTGCACACATCATGGTTAGGGATACCCAAAACGAAAGTATTCTTCCCATTTTTCCAAATGACCTAAAGTAAAATTTCCGATGAACAAGTAGAGTTACTTTACAAGTTCCGTTGGATAATTGGTGGGGATATCCAAATCAGAATAATAATGATAGTAATACCAATAATAAAACAGTTCTTACTTTAAATATGAAATTACGGACGTATCGGTTCCTCCGCTGTAATCCTGCAATCCGCTTGGATTCACAGTACCCGCAGTTAACATCAAATAATTCCATGATAAACACCAGGTGTAGAATGGAGACGTAGTGCTGTGACAAAGTGTAAGTGGATGAGTGCATCATCCAACCGTCTTTTAAATACTGTTACTGTAGGTGCAGAGATGACGGATTCTGGGAGAGCATTCCACGGGTGACAGACGCGAAAGGAAAACATATATCTGTGGCACTCCAGATCGCTGTATTGTTCTGCGGGTTTCAATGAGTGGTCCCACAGCTTTGTATTTGTGCTGAGTCACAGTAAAGAGCGGCACACATGATATGGGTCTCGCAGAATCAAGTATGCAATAATCAGGTCGCATCGTAGTCTGCGATGGCTTCCAATAAATACTCCCAATCGTTGCAGCCTCTCCTGGTAAGCAACATTGCGCATTCCGATTACGTTCTTAGATGTCCGACGTCGTGGCTGCTCCAGTGCACTAACCTAGTATTTCACTCATGGATGCCAAGCTTGAATTGCGTATTCGACATAAGGGCGAACATACGCACTGAGCATTTGTCGAAATATGGAACTGTTTATTTGTCCAAACGCCCGTCGCAACAGCGCGACGTATTGGTTCCCGGTCTTCGAGGCTATTTCGGATTGCCTGGAGCAACCCAAGTCATCTTGAACCCGGACACCCAACTAAGGTTCGACAGTTGATTGATGCAGTACATTCATTTCCAGCCGGTATGGGTTGCTGCTCTGATTTCGGATGGATACTATTTTGCATTTTCTGACGTTGAAATGCAGTAAGTATTGTGTTGACCAATGATATACCGTGTCTAGCTCACTCTGAAGCAGATGCTGATTGGCGGTCACCTGGATACTAGTGCCAGAGCACAAGGCACTTTAAGGAGTCTAGACAGACAGCATCAGCGCTTTCCAAACATAGCATAAGCGCTGTCGCAATAGAGTATTAACCGATTCGTAGTGAATATTGAAGCCGGCGAAATTTACACTTTGCTATTGTTTTCCCTACTCTCCGGGTATCCAACGATTGTCTCGGTATTGGTGGAATATATGAATATGGAGGTTAACGGTACAGACACATTCAAATTGCAATTTACATTTTCAGTATGGCTGGCGTGCATATGATTGTAATGACTATCCTCTGATCCTCATGACTGGGATCTGCATCTCAGTGTGACATAATTAAAATGAAGCAGTTAACGGCGCTGCTAAATCTATGGTAGCAAGTAGTTGTGTGGAACATCAGCTATCTCATAAAGCTGGAATGGTAGAGCATACGTGGCTTCTCTGAATACTAAGGTTGTTGGATGTCGGTACACTTCGGAAGATGGAGGTTAATTGATGCCCAGAGCAGCTTAGTGCCTTTTGTGTCGTCTAGATTAGCACATGTGCTTTATGTTAGCAGGGATCACATGCCAAACGCCATAAAGCATATTTGCTTGTCTGTAAAGTGGCTTAAAGTACAGATAAAACTTTAACAAAATAAATTCTTGGTTCTTTATCTATTTGAACCCGCTTGATATAGTGGTTGCTTTGTAGCAAACAATTTAAGTGTGTTACCCAAACTGCCAGGATACCGTCGACGTACAAGCTGATGCAAGGGGGCGAAAGTAAGTCTCTAAACGGCTAATCGCTTCCCATTGAAGTTGCTTAAGAATGGTTTAACCCGTTTAATGCATAGCTTTTTTGACTTTTCACCAAAGTGAATCGGATAGTCGCGATAATAAAGTCAGGAAGGATACCATGGTTGACAATGGTATTAGCTCCATCGCACAGTTTGCTTACTTGTTGTGACACATGGAACAGTAAAGTAAGATCTTTGAGTTGGAAACTTCTATCCGTCGACATTAATTTGACAAAATGCTTGCTTTTATGAGTTCTAGCTTCGGTTTTTCCGTTTCCTTTAATGCTTTGACATGTACAATTAAGATCCGGCTAATAAATTTTGCCGATCCTCCTTGATTTGCTTACTTAATTTGACAACGTATCTCATTATGGGAATACAAAGCCCATCAGCAGAAGTACCTGGTCCACGCACAGATCTAGAAAGCTTATTATGTCTGTACATACCGCAATATCCATCTCGTAAGTCGACATTTTCAAATCATGCACGAATAATAGTTAACACCTACTCCCCTGGCGTAAGCGTAATCGTTCTGAGAGATGGGCAGTTTTTTAAGCACCTAGACCCTTAACATGCGCAAGTTTGCGTCGGGCGGGATAAGGCACTCAGCGCTTGCCTATATGAGTTGGTCTTCGCATTGAAATCTACGAATTATAGTGGGAACTTGCCATTCATTCTTGTCTCAGTGTAATGGGCTGGCTACTAGGCATGTAAGTTGGGCAGGTTTAGGTCTTGGCCAAATTGCTAAGCAATCAGAGTCGTTTGCATGCAAATTGCTGAAGAAACGCATACAAGAAATGAAAGTACGAGCGTACCCTACTAAGTAACACCGACGCTTGCTATTAAGACAGGCATTGTTACTTGGGATAAATTTCTAGCTTACCATCATTGACTAGGTTAAATAATTACCGAGCGCCCTAGATGTTTGAGGCTTTACTTCCTATAATTGACAAATGAAGTATTTAATTTTCCGCTGACGTGATGTTTATACATAGTTCCGATTCGGAGTCGCATAGTGATTAAATTGCAAACAAAGTATGTTCGTTAGTATTTACTGTGCTAACTGTGGCCTGGATTGACCACCTTTAAAAGTGATAATAATTTATATTGGTATCTTATTTATGGCAGTTTCTAATCACACTTTTTACCGTTTGTTTGAAAGTGATTTAAAAGCCTCTTTCATTAATTTGAAGTGATCCTACTTAATGGATATAATTCGCCCAGGCGTTATGCATTAACTGTTGCCCCATTTAGGTTGCGAGCTAGTTGAATGTAGTATCGCTTTATAAGGTACTAACCTAATATTTCCGGAACCCAGCACACAAAACGGAGGTCACGTCGTTTCACTTAAGTTGTCTTCGTGAATTATTCTGCATTCAAGTATAATAAATCTGCGTGACTGCATACTATTATATGTAGGTTATAAACTTAATACGTGTATCATGAAATGGTGATAATTTTCAGTCACTCAACTCTTATTTATTTCATATGACGTAACTTTAAAAGCTGAGCAGGAAGAAATGACACTGAATTTGGTTAGACTTACGGAATATCTGCACAATAACGCACAGTAGTCAGTGTCGATTATTTAAAAGATTTATTATATCCAGTCATCACTGAAATGATAGCCTACACATTCTTTGGGCATTCTCAGCCTCCTAACAAACTACCGTTCCTAATATCCTTAGGTAACATGTGAACATTTTCGGCGGGCAGATGTAATTGGAAATATTATGATAACAAGTGGAGATAGGTATGACGCGACCAGAACACAGCATATCATTTTAGACCAAATTAGGCAATTCATTTTGCATTTAAATATAAATCTTAACCTATGTTGATGGTCCGTATGCAGCGTGCCAAAATTAGTTGGTTTCATTATCATTATAGACATTAGCAGTGGTTGCAGTACACGTCAGCTACTATGCCGCAATACAAAAGTAACGAAAGATAACATGAACCAGTTGCAGTCGACTGAGTCATCAGTGACCGATTGGCATCATTCCGGAGAGATAACAGTCGGCTAGTGTGTCGTAAGAAAATAGTTATTTTATGCCAAATGAATGAGCTCGCAGTCGGCGGTGGGGGCCAAGCAGGAGAGGGGCGGGACAAAGAAACGCACAGCACGAAAGCCATTGAGGTCGGCTCCTAGCCATGTCAGACGTGTATCTTGCCAAAGTGTTCATGGTCTTTCGGTCCCCAAGCAGGGAGCCGAGTGTCGCCAACCGAAACCAACTTCGAAGTAGGAACCTTTATTCCTCCTGACCAAGACATTGCTTGGACATCCCACTTCAACAATACTTGGTGTAAATCTGACGATACAACCTTGTCTAATATAATATTCTAGATCCATCAATTCAAAATGTTATGGAGCTACATAGGCGGGTGAGCTAAGACACTTGACTTAATTTATTACAACGCGTTTTGAAGTAGAACTGCAAGCTACATGCGCTGAAATGGACCTCACAATAGATAAAAGCTCCATACTACTACGAGCGCCTGGTCTATACATATTCGTCGTTACTTCGGCCGCTAATTCGTCTTAAGTTTCCTGTGTTAGCATTTTGATTGTGGCAGATTTACCACGTTCCTGTGAACCATTGACACCAGCTCTATGTGTTACACTCAGTACATTTTTAATTCTTAAATACTGTCGAATATCAAACTGTAATTTGACAGTTGATAAACCCTCTTATTCTATTGTGTTTTCCTCTCGGTGTAGTGACGTCTAGTCACATATATTGAGCATATATTGAGGATTGATTTATTGCACTATACACAAATGAGTAAACGGCATGTGTCTCGACAACTGCGAGACATTGTCCATTGTTTCATTTTATGTCGCGACAGACTGTAATCCTGTTAGTTAACTATGCAACTGGTTGTGCCTCAGTTTCATATCAGCCGTTAGGACGCGATTAATGTGTGATTAAATCTGAGCACAGCTTTTTGCCGGGAAAGTGTGCAGCTTTGTTCCGAAAACGTTGTTATATCATTTTTAAACTGACACTATTGCTCACTTCCAACTTTGAATATTGGAATGCTCAGAGAGACCTACACGTTGCTCAAATCCGCTATCGATTAGCGGGCGAATTATACTCACCAAACAATGCAGGGAATTACCTTACGGGTGCCTCATCCAAGCTGGGGTAGCCAGTCGCTTATAAATTAGCTCCCAAACGGGGGTCTCGGAAGCACGACCTAACAAAACACACAGGCTTCTATAAATAAATAGCTTATTTGTTGATAAAGACGACATGACCAAGCAACTATTTGCTTCGGATTTGCAAGATTTGACGAGGTCATTTTGCCTGAAAAGATATACGTAATAACCCATAAATACCGCAATAATTAGGCAACTACAACAGCAGTCCGTATGAAGATGTGCCTAAACATGTACAAACCAAGAATTCGCATTTGTCATCTTGCCTCATTCACAATAACATCGTTGTCGTTTAGCAAATGGGAATTAACTTGATAATTTGCGTTCAGTTGCTCGACGTCTTGGAGTGAGCTTGTTAGATAGAAAACCATAAACACAAATCGCTTTATCGCTCTGAATAATTTAGCTCATTTGTGTAACAGTAAAATATGTTATACTTTTTAGCAATTCTATATTTATTCGAGATACAATACTGCCCAAAGCTAAAGGGAGAATCTGTTTGACCAGCTTAATTTGTAGTAGAATATTGCATAAATGTGCTGAATTTAAAAAGATATTCAATAATCCAAAACGAACTTTCTGGTGTACAGTCGTATCATCTTCTATTTACAAGGTGCCCGTGACTTAAAAACAATATCCAGAAAGGTCTGCGTTATAATTTATGTTATCACATTCAGTGGACGTTCAATTCAAGGCATATGAAGCAGAAAGAGCTAAGTTGGTTTATTCTGACATGTATTTAACATCAGTTATAAATCCGCCTCTCTTTTGTTCACTTCATATGAGTACTTCTTTCTACTTTTCACGTTAGGAAAGCATTCATGAACTAACCACCGCAATTATTGATGTACCGATGGTTACTGCATACCTACTGGGATTGAAGAATTTCGTAGATCCTTACACCAGCACGCAACCTGAGGCCGTTACCATTCGAGACACAATCGATGCATGTCTGGCTGACCTGCAAGAAGCGGACTCTCTGAGTAGTCATGCTTTGCAACTGGCAAACTTATTTACGGAATTGCAAAAGTACCAAGTGCTATCTCCGCAACTACAAAACATAAGCGCAACACTGCAATCGGTAATCCAGGTAAGTAACACGCAACCGTGGCCACTTGAGCTTCACCCAGGTATTGTGTATCAGTTGGGACATATATATGAACCTGTTATGAAATGCATTAAAATATATGAAGATGCTAACATGGATTAACTATACGAATTTACGAATTCGAGGCCTTGGTAAGCGTATGCACTTCAATCGGGGTAGGTTTCCTAATTTTACTGGCAGACAGATAAATATTATTAACTTTCCCACGAAGCATTAGTTGAAGGTCGTAAAAATAATTTCTGTGAGTTGACTGTTACCATATCCTATAAAGCTTTGAAAGAATGATGGAAAAATTTGCATTTTCTATTGATGCGCAACTTTGTTAAAGCGCACGCAAATAGGTGCTGCAAAACTAGCGGTATTTTGACAAGCTGACTGTAGAACTTAAGTAGTAAACCTTGTTGGGCACAGCTCTTCTTAAAAATTGAGACATGCACTTTTTCTGGCGACATCCAACATGTGATGTAGCTATCTTTAATTTGAACTGGTTATGTGCGATGACTTCAGAGTCTACGCCGCAGTTTCATCAAATGCTGTAAGCATCGTCGAGTCACTGGAATAAAATCACAGCGCTCAAATGCTTGCACGCTTTGGCCGTTTCCTTCAGATCCTCAGCAACTCGACGGCCGTTGTAGATCCACTGGTGTCGGCATACCGTGCTGCTTTTATCGAATTCTTCGCCGCGCTCAATACATCTATGGACGCTGAGATGGCTCGGTTTACAAGTCAGGTGGTCTCTTGCAGTCGGCTACATATCATCCTAAAATCCACACTGGAGATCACGTGTGGCAACACTGGATTGCTCAACCGATTGGGTGGATTGATGTTTATTCTGGCTCTTCTATCCCTTCCAATGCTCATCGCTTCCATAATCTTCCAAGTCTTCCTGTCTATGCACGAACAACACTCTATACTTGTCACCAGTTAACGCGGCTGAGGATCCCAGCTTGGAAAATTTACATTTAATCTAAGCATTGCCATTACTAACGGATGTTATTTACCCCACATCTGTGGACCAATCATGGTGAATGTTGACAAGCGTTAACTTTTCAACCAGTTCGCTGAATCAAGAGAGTAATTAGGAACGCGAAGAATCACGATAGCTTTTTTGCAAAACATTAAAATGGATAGATAAAATTAGTACTGATTATCGCCTGCTGAAAAGTCTATTTGTATTATCGAATTAAAAAGATTACGCAATTGTGTATTCTTTTGATAGCATACAACAAGGGGAGCGCCATCCACATATGGTGATAAAATAGGTTTTTATCCATAGTAGAACTTACGCAGTTGTTTGAAACGTAGATAACTAATATTTACTAAATACAACAGATGGTGCTGGAGTATGCACCTCATGGTAGAGTATTATCAAGCACATTGTATGGTAGGCTACAAGGATTGATGGGCCTTACGCATGTAAAAATAATGTTAATCCCGTTCTATTGATTGCTTATAAGGAACCGAATTAACAAAATATGCATGCCGTTTGTACCAGCAATGCAGTGTTTTAAATATACTGTTCCTACCGTTCGTCGCCATTACATGCTATGCTTAGTTGATCAATTTATCATCTGGCAAAGCAGGTTTTCATCACTATTTATTGTTAGATTAAATAGCGATTAATTAGTACATTTTAGACTCTTCTCAATCACTAATTCTTCGACTGATTATGCACTGAGATTGAACACATTTTTCCTATTGTCTCCATTCATCTTGTCCTTGTGTGGTTCCCACAGTCGTTTGGTGTGACTTCGGCTTCACTCTACCGTCCACTTCCCATTCTATCACTAAAGTGTTATAGCTCCTCGATTTTTTGCCTACTTTGGGTACTGCACTGCTGGTGCCTTAGTTGGAAGTTGGGAATTCAACGAAATAACCAGCACAACAGTACAAACAACGTTATCTAAGCAGCAAAATGTAACCGTATTGAACTCATATATATGGACGCACAAATAACAGTTCACAAATTGAAGAACTAGCTCAGCTTGGTAACTAATGAGAAACTGCTCATTAATAGGTCACTGGCAACCTTATGACAATACATTAGTCCAAGAAACCGGAAGAATTCCATGCATCAATTAAGTGCAAGTCTCTCCTGAAAGCTAACTTGCTAGGCGCGTTCGCCGTGTTATAGAGTGATGATATCTAAGGTACAGGCCCGCCCGACAGTTAAGATTGACAGATTCGCTCCGAAATATCTTTAAAATGACCTGAGATTGTTGCTGATGTAAATTTCTTCGAAATACTAGTGAATATATATTCTGCATTGTCGTCCTCAAGTATAAAATTCATGAATTTGTATGAACCTTACTAAATCACAGTTGCATTATAGGAAATCAACTTAATCTTCAGGTCATACGCTTCAAACAAACTAAAACAATTCGACTTTTAACCTGAAGGAATTCAGATATTCCGAAGAAGCCTAATGCCGTTTATGAATATTTCCATTGGTGTTTTAGCGCCAAATAAGATTTTTTAATGCAGTCTGAATTTCTGGTAATGCTTAATACCTCTTGAGCCAGACAGTTCTGAATGTTACGAAAAGCAGAATTGCTTAGAAGTTAATCCTTTGTTTATGCATCTCACTAAGTTGTACCTCTGACAAACAATGAAAGCTTGTAATGAGAAACCGCCATTGGTCTTGGATTTGCAACATGTAATCTCACGTGCGGTCTTGGTTGACTTTAAAGTTAGTCCCCGCCATTACAAGTACAGGGACCGTATCTGAACTAGAGGACATCCGTATTGCTCTCTGCCAACACGGCAATCCGTGACGCCTTTCAGACTTGTTCGGACTCATCAAGTAGCGATGGCGTGAGCTGGGAGTGGAACTCGGTACCCAGTGATTGGTAGGTATCGTAAGGTTCACGAGCAACGCATCACACAGGGACAAGAATGGCTCTAAATTTAGCAGTTTTTCTCTGAGTATTCCCCTTCTCCATGCAAGCAAGATAAAGGGTACGCAGAAGTTTTGTTGGCGTAAGCTAGAAAACATCCTATTTGGTAGGATAAGGAGAAAGGCCTTGCAAACAAACAGCAAGTAATGTGAAATCTCGCATTTTCTGATGCTAACGCACATAGTGGACCAGCGATTTTTTCAAACTACCAGACTGAACAATCAAGTTGTGTTATTTTGAAATCCATTTTATGAAGGCTACATTTCGTGAGACGGAGCAGGTAATCGATATGTATGTATACATCGCTCCCGTGCCACAAGTCGAAGACCAGACAAGGTTGTTGGTATTAAAAACACCGTAGATGAAGGTTTCCCAACAGATTGTTGACTCTCACATCAGAATATTGAGTAATGCACGTCTGTGTCATTCTCCAAAAGGTGTTTCACGGGTCTCCCGTGGTAATTACGTCGCCATCAACAGCGCAGTATTTCTTTAGTGTTGCTTCAAATGATTAAAATAATAGTCAGATCAGATAGCGTCAAATTAAATTCGCATTTAACGAACAATGTGATGCTTCATATGTAGCCGTAGCGCATATATTTGGCAGTATAAGACTGTACGATTAACACAAATAACCCATGTAAATTAACATAGATTCCTGAGAAGTACAGTTAGTTGAAACACATCCGATAAGACCTACTGTAGTCAACTGAGCTTTGGGTGTCGTCCACATTTCTGAAGACACCGGAAATTGAGATAAAAGGAAACAAGGTATGATGGTAAAACTTGGATTTCCGCAGTCAGGCACTCGCAGTGACGGAACAGCCCTAAGCGCAGTTCGAAAGGAAGATGCTCGCTGTAGTCTACCTAATGGAGCGATTCAATAAATACATATTTGAAAGAAAGAATACAGCGTAAACTGACCACCAGTCGCTAGTGGCAATAGATAGTAGACCGTTAAACAGTGACCCTTGATGTCTTCAACGGATGTTTATCCGACTCCAAAAATACGACATGGATAGGGAGTACACTCCGGGGACTAAATCTTTATAGCGGATGCTGTATCGTGAGCTCATCTTCCGATAGTTGAATACCAACTGGAAGGAGTCTAGGCAGTCAACGTCGTACAGCATCTAGCGGTAAAGACAGCGCCTGATAGAGAGAAAGCGTCATACGGAGGTAGACGCGACTTGCGTGGTGTTGCGCGAAGTGACTTTGAAGGGATGTTCAGATATAAAGGAAGAACTCCCAAAAATTTAAGGCTGTTCTGCAACTTTCGGGATGAACTAAGGGTGTAGGACGGCTTGCTGTTTAATGGAAAACACATTTTGATCCCACCGCTGCTTCGCAAATATTGCTAGGACACGCTCATCGAGCCCATTAGGGTGTCAGTTACAGTATTAGTAGAGCAGGCGAGTTGGTGTTCTGGCCCGGGATGACCAGACAAATCCGTGCCCATGTATCAAGCTGTTCAACCTGCCCGACCTACGAGGCTCGCTGAGCCAGCGAATCAATGATGCTGCGTGAGATTTCAGATCGAGCATGGCAGAAAGTAGTGGTGGACTTGTTCTTTGATAACAGGTAGATCTATTTAATCACTGTGGACTATGGCAGTAACTAATTTGAGATCAAACCACTCACCGATACCACCATGAAAGTAGGTATCAACAAGCCTGGATATCTGTTTACCATAAGGAATATCAGAAGACCTGATCTCCAACAATGGCCCGCAATTTACAAGTGCTGCGTTCCAGACCTTTTCAAACAAGTGGGAATTTTCGCAAGACAAACCAGCCCGTATCACAATCAGTTTAACGGAAAAACAGAGGTAGCGAGCAAACAAGTTAAGAGGCTGTTGTCGAAAGCCAAACCCACTCATGCAGACCAGTATCAAATTTTGTTGATGATTTGCAATAGTCCATTACCGAACATCGGTTTCAGTCCAGTGCAACATTTGTACAGCAGAAAGACAGAACCTTTAAAGCCTGCGACCGCTGAACTCTTACGCCCTGTTTTGCCATCTCACGAACTACTGTAAACCAGCTTAAGAAAACTGATTACAGATCAGAAAAGATATTATGACCGCAGAACCCGGGCGTTACTGGGACTATCAGTAAATTATTAAGTGTGGATCCATCCAATACCTGGTGTCAGCGAACGATGGAAGGACGGTGTGGTGATCTCGAAGTTTGGTGAAAGATCTCGTGACGTCAGTACCGACTGGAAAGAACGGAGTGCAGCTGAGGCGAGACTAGAAACAAGGACGTGAACATGCAGCAAAACATTAGATGCCTTACGGGGAGGTCACAACGACAGAGACAGCCAAGATGACGCGGTGCGGAAGAGCGTACGGATTCTTCTGCGACAACGATGCAGCTGATTTCGAAAAAAGGAACGATGTGATAGGATTGCGCAAAAAAGCGGCAAGTGTGCCACATAGGACCAGAGCAGTTGAACGAACAGCAACACATAGTTCGTTTTCACGCTGATTTGCTTGCTGGAATGGGTTTATTTTACTGATTCAAAGAAGGAACCTCATGAGTGCAGCAGCATCCTTAGTTATGGAATTGAGTTAGCTATTTATATCGACATTCCTACATGCTTGTCAGGCTGTAACTTTTGCTGCACTCACTCTGCTGAATAAGAGATTTACCCCTATAGCACCGACTTCTTCGATACACGACATCTGCCGTCGTTCCTTCGTGAATACGATGTACCCAGTGCACCTCGAAGGTGTCACACAAAAATTGTTCCGTTGGTTAAAACTCTTAAAGTTTACGCGCAGTTGCTACTCTGTGGCTCGTCAACATTAACTTCAGTGTGCGACACCAGCAGAGATATTGGTTGGTAACGCATTTCATTGTGTAACAGATGCCAACCGCTTTTGTAGTAACATAATCCCGGTAGCTTTCAGGTGCCGATGCGCTAACTCTAGCTTCTAGTTTGGTGAATGCGGCATGCCGTGCAATCAAATGAGTTTAGTCTACATTCAGTGAGATAAGCTAGATAATGTTCAAGGGAGTTCTGTATT